GTAAGCAATATATACGTTTGAGCGCTCCACCTATAGGTGTAGGTCTTACACCGTATTTAAATCTACCATTTTGTCAAGTGGGATAGAGGATATTTCCACATAAGTGTATAGAGCAGCCTGAAAATCACTTGCACTTTGTAAAGCACCTTGTTACACACATTCCTCCGTAAAAAGAGGTCAACTTTGATTTGTATTCATAGTCTGTTAGCCAGTTCGACTCCGCCTCCAATAAATTATTAATTGATAAATATTTGAATGCTAGATTATGCTTTATCAAGCACATAAGAAATCAACGTGTGTTCAACAGATTGGGTAAAATCAAGAAAAAAAAGGTAATTCTTGAGGGCAAAATGCACTCAACAGACGTTCCCATACTGTCCCATACTGTGCATCTCCCCGATTCAGAAGAGGAGAACCATTGCATCTCACTGTGTATGGCACTTTAAAATCAGATTGGAACATCTGAATTCTATGGTCCAGTTGGATAAGTACGGGTAATCGACTGAGTGAACAATTGTGGATGAGATGTGCCTTTGCAAGTATGTACTTTGCAAGTATCTACTAAACTGTGGGGGGTTTTTTTGTTTTGTTTTTTTTGTTTTTGCTCTATTGGGCAGTAGAGTGTCTCTTTATTTCTTTAAACTATGACTGTTCAAGTACAGTATTTTCTATCCTGGACTGAACAAGGATACTCGGTTTGAATATTTGCATATGGAGAATTTGGACCAATAGAAATAATTGGCGAGGAGTTAAGTCACTGCAGCTCTGTTCAAGATTGCGTATAGTGAGAAAGCGTCACCAGATAAAGCCCATTTGATAGGATAAAATGCCTCACAGCAGATATATCAAGAAACTGCAATAGTGAGTGTCTATAGCATTGGAACGGAATATTTGGATTAAAAAATTATAAAAGTGTGTTTGATTTTTTTAGTTCCGGCACTTTATGTTTATGTATTGCCCTTAAGTATGTGTAGTGTATGCAGCTGTAAAATTTAATTGTGCACTTAATACTCATACCTCATACTTTAACCCCTTAAGGACACATGACATGTGTGACATGTCATGATTCCCTTTTATTCCAGAAGTTTGGTCCTTCAGGGGTTAATTGGCATATTAGTGTTAATTCTTTTTTCTAACTCTTTTTTTTTTTTTTTTGCTGGATCTAGGCATCTCGTAGTCACATAATAACCTGAGAGACATTATTTTATTTGGAGCACAATTTTCCAAGCCCTTTAAAAAAAAAATAATGTAGTATTAGTATTTAAGTAAAAATTCAAAGATAGGCTGTCTTAGCTCACTCACATTATTTGGATATGCATTAGAGTTTTATTTTAAATGTTCCAGTAACTTTCAATGAGTACCAACATTTTGCAGTGCATTATACAAATCATAAAGGAAAAGAACAATGTTGAATGTCCATTGTCCCTTGAAGAGCTATTTCTGCAGTCATGTCTACAGAGACCAGGAAATGAGCTTGACATTTCCTAAAAAATGCATAAAAGGCCAAAAGGAAAGGAAAAGGTTGTCTTTTCAAAATATTCCAATGTGACCCTGGAATATATGCAAATTAGAACATTCATATGATTATCAAAAACATGTTTTTGAGAAGAGCTCAAACTTTTCACTTGCCCACTAGCCATTGATGAGAAAAGAACTGAATATGTAGGCTTGCCTAGAAGCATAGGACTTGAAATTTTGAACCCTGTTTTCGAGCATCAAAACCATTTGCTGTTTCTAATTCATGAAAACATGACTACCCTCATTTTTGTAAAAACTAATGTGTATGGCAATGCTTGTTGTTTTATGTCCCCAATGAATTATTATACATTGTCCAGGAGGTGGGAGGGTCTGGGAGGGAGGGTCTGCTGCTGATTGGCTGGAATGTGTCTGCTGACTGTGAGGTACAGGGCCAGAGTTTACTCAATGATGAGTCCGCGGCGAACCGTTCGGCGAACCGTTCGGGGCATCACTAATGAGGAATGGTGAAGAGCAATGCAGCATCTACTCCAAGGCAAACAAGGCAATTGCCTTGAATGACGCTTTCCAGTGGGTGGGGGAAAAAATGTTGTCCCCTAACGCCCATTTGAATGCCCCCACAACTTTTATCATGCAGTATGCAGTTGCTATGTTTGGTATCAGCATCTTTCTTCCTTACGCATATGCCTTGGCTCCATGTAAAATCCAAAGCTCTAAAGTTCTTGTAGGATCTTGACATCACTCTAGTGGGATAGTAACTTGCAGTGTGAAGCCAGGGGCAGACAGGACTGGAAAAGGATATGTGGAAGCGCGCACCATGGAGAGGATAATCAGGGAGCATAAACAACTCAGTCAGCAGGAGTTGTGCAGACTTCAGGGAGAGCAAGCAAAGGTAACCTGACAGAGACAGTGAGCAATTGTCATATATACATACAGCAAGGACAAAAGAGACAGTGTGACGCACAGAGCATGGGGAGAGACAGCCTTATATCTATATAGTGCATAGAGAGAGACAGCTTAGTATCTATATAGTACATGAAGAGAGAGTCTAATATCTATAGTCCACATGGAGGGCAGACAAACTAATAGTGCATATGGAGGTGAGAGAACTTAATATACAGTACATGGTGAAAAGTGACAGACTAAAGTATGTGGATGGGGTATCCACTGAAATGGAAAAATCAATTAAAAGTATTGATTATTTCTTTGTGTATCTGCCCCTGGCCAAATCAATGAAACAGTGCGTGCACGCTCCCTGAAGTAATTCACACCAGACACAGGTTCCAGGTTGTTGAATAACTTGAGGAAAGTTTATTCAGAGGGGACGGCAAGTCCCTTTTAAAGCAAAATTACATCATAAGCATTGTCAGAGATAACATGGAATAATGCATCAATAATTGGTTAGGTGTTAAGTGGTTGCTCTAATGCTCTGCCTACTGTAGGTGATGTCACCGGGACCATGAGGGTCTCCCACGGTTTCCCGGCGCCATCTTGGTGCACGAGGTAGTTAGTCGATGTTAGGAAGGAGAAAGGGAAGGGAGGGGGAAAAGAGCAAGAAGCTTCTAGCAGCCATCTTAATTATAACGTGTGTGCTTAACTATATATATATATATCGTGAAATGAGTAAATAGACATTTTTCACTAACTAGGAAATATGTGTAGACCTTATTTCCACAACAGTCCCCCCTAAAATGGCTATTTACCATAACAACTGCTACTGTCCCTAATATGTCCCTAGTTGCCTGCAACCTATCTGCCTTAACTAGCATCGAACACTTCACTCCGCGGGTAACCCGCAGTGGCTAGTCCACTACATCTCCACACGTGAGACTCGCCAGTTAAGACAGACGCTTTCCCTATACTGTCCCTACAGGAAAGCAGTTGTTTGTTTAAACTGATGTGATTGAAGGGGTGTATGTGGAGTATCATCTTCGAGGTCTGTGATGTCTTGGTGTATGAAAGTAGGGGTCACGTCATCTATAGTCTTGTCCACCGCTTTCTGTAGATACTTCTGTATGCAGGGGAATATGCAACAGGTCAGAAATAAGAAAATAACGATCATTATGAGAACAGCTGTCCCCACCTGGAAGAGGGTCCTTTGCCAACCATTCATCCATCCAAACCATCTGTCCCAAGTGTCGATGACTCCTGAATTTTTCTTTAGCTCGTCTGCGAGACTATCTAGCTTCTCTATAGCCATAGTCACCTTACCATTGGGCCCAGTGTTGTCTGGAATGTATGTGCAGCATGTCATGGTCTCAGGGAGGATTTTACATACCCCCCCTTTCTCAGCTAAAATCATATCTAGGGCCATTCTGTTCTGAAATGTCATTTGGGTAGTGGCTTGTAGTTGCTCTGCTAGGCCCTGTAGGGCATCCCTAGTGTAGTTGACAAAACGCTGTTGATTATAGTAAATATAATTAATCCAATTGACATTTTTGTTAACAGTTATCATTGGAATTAGGGACTCAAATCCTGCAGCCACTTCATCTCTTGCTTTGAATTCGTTAGGCACCCCCCTTGGCACACCTATGGCATCAATATACACATGGGGGTCGAAACTCCCTCGAATAGGAGTCTCTCGTTTGATTCTAGAGTGTGCATGTGTGAGGTTTAACGTGTTATGGTCACCATCTGGAATGATATGGATAGGCATTATGACTTTAGTTAGGGCACACTCCCCCCACCATTGCCCAATTAATTGGGACCTCAATTGTTTATCCCCACATAACCAATAGATATCGCCGATTGTCTTTGTGTGGTTCATTAGCAGTGATATGGGTGGATTATGGTAAGTTGAGCAATATCCTGATGGGAATTTGCCCAGATACAGACCGGTGTTTTTAGATATTGTATAACATGTGTAATTACCTGGGTAGATAGTGACTCCATCAGGTGGTCTTACATGTCCGTGAGTGATCGGGTAAATTCTCTTCCACGATTCACATGTCGAGGAATTGGTGACGGACTGTGTGTAAAGGCTCAGAACACATGATTCTACTTCGGGAGGTAAATTCAGAGGAACTGTGCCCAGATGGGGCCTGGCTCCCCCACACACGTAACAATTGGTCTTATTGTGTGAGTTGGCATTATACCTCATCCATTCTAGCCATAAATTAGTGTCTGAAAAACCAGTCTCCACTGCCATAGTGTCTTCAAAGGTGGGGTTGGCTATAGCTACCATGTCATGTAGGGTCTTAATATGTGGTTTTAACGGGTTAACGATCATGTGAGTGGTCCCCACCCAGTCGGGGGAGGTGAGCATGTCTTGTAGGTAGAATGTCCCCAGTGCATTGTGTGAGCCACCTCCCTTCCAGTACATCCCCATCACATATTCCCCCGCGTCCCTTGGACTAGGGTGTTCTATATTCAAGGTAAGTTTAATGGGAGTTGACCCTGTGGGTTTACTAAGAGTCATTCTAGAAAGTAGGGGCTTCCCGTCTTTGTCAAGTCTGTCTAGTGCAACCTGAGGTCTGTAGCCCCATGGTCTACCTGTATTCCACCCGGCAGCTTTCCATGAACTACAGTGGTGTCCCCAAGCTCCTCCAGTCACACAAATGTATGGGTCCTTTTTGTTAGGTATGTCCTTGTATATGGCTGCATGTTGTGTCTGTGGGAATGTACAGGTAACTATGTCACAGTAATCAAAGGTGTATGTAGCTACATCAGTATTAGAAGAATTGTACCAGAAAGTGTAAACATGATTATCTTTGGTTATGGCCACTTGTTGGGCCCAGGCAAAATGCAACAATATAAGAAAACACGGGACACATAATAAATTCATGTTTCAACAAGATCAGCTTCTCCCGGAGCAGGCACTTTTTTGCAATGTGAAGCGTGTATCCAGGAACTTTTTCCAGCTAGTTTAACTGACGTTGCTGTAATCAGGAGCACTTGATAAGGACCATCAAATCTCGGTTCTAGGGTATGTTTCCTGAGGAACTTCTTAACCATAACCCAATCACCTGGAAGCAGCTTGTGTGTACCTGTATTCGACTCAGGATCTGGAATAGAAGAAAACACTTGGGCATGTATCTTGGTCAAGGCATGTGAAAGGGCAGTCACATAGTCTACCATAGCGTCTGACTGAATCTGAAGCTGTTGGGGAAAGTAGCAACCTAACCTGGGTGCTGTACCAAACAAAATCTCATAAGGTGACAAACTGTATTTTCCTCTGGGAGTGTACCTTACACTGAATAACGCTAGTGGAAGACTCTCGGGCCAGGGCATGTTAGTTTCTTGTGACATTTTAAGCATTCTGGCTTTCAAAGTGCCATTCATGCGCTCTACCTTACCACTACTCTGTGGGTGATATGGTGTGTGGAATGCAAGGGTCACCCCCAGTGCTGACCAGACTTCCCGTGTTAGCGAGGCAGTGAAGGAGGTCCCTTGGTCACTTTCAATTACTTCTGGAACTCCATAGCGGCAAACAATTTCTGTCAAGAGATACTTGGCTGTAGTCCTCGCGGTGAGATTAGTCACTGGGAAGGCCTCTGGCCATCCTGAAAACATGTCCACTATGACCAATGCATATTCATAACGTCCACTCTTTGGCATCTGAATGTGATCAATCTGGATCCTCTGGAAGGGGTATTGTGGTTTAGCTAGATGATTAGGTGCAGTCTTTATAATCTTTCCAGGATTGCATTTAGCACATATAGTACAAGATTTACAGTAATTCTGTGTTAAGGTAGTGATGCCTGGTGCTTCAAAATACTTGTCAATCAATGAGTTCATCAGATGTTTTGACAGATGAGCTGGCCCATGGGCCCATTGGACCACCGCTGGGTACATACTTCTGGGTAGGCAGAACTTGAGATTAATGGTGTAAACATCATCACGGAGTATAGCTCCTTTGTTCTTCCAACCTTGTTTCTCTTGGGGAGTAGCAGCAGCTTGCTGTTCCTTCAGAAGCCTGAGGTCTGTAGGCAATGTTTGCATAGTATAGATAGGCAGTGTATCTGTGGCCACTCTTCTGTCCACTTCCCATCTTTGCCGTGCTGCTCCTTTAGCTGCTTGATCAGCCAGGTGATTACCACGTGCTTCTTCTGTGTCTAGTCTTCCATGGGCTTTTACCTTCAGTACTGCCACCTCAGCTGGAAGTTCCAATGCGTCCATCAGCTCTGCAATGGCTCCCCCATGCTTTACTGGGGTACCAGTGGCCGTAAGAAATCCTCTGGTCTTCCAAATTAAGCCAAAATCATGTGCTACTCCCAAGGCATATCTTGAATCCGTGTAAATGTTGACACGCAACCCTTCAGACAATTTGCAAGCCACAGTTAGGGCTATCAATTCAGCTTCTTGAGCGGACTTATTTGGTTGTAGGGCAGCTGCTTGTAACACTTGACATTCTGTGGTAACTGCATACCCAGTGTGATATTGCCCTTGTTCATCAGCAAATCTTGACCCATCCACAAATAATGTTTGGTCCGGGTTGAGTAGTGCAGCTTCATAGACAGTTGGTAGATGTGTAGTTTCCATTTTCATTTGTTCAAAGCAATCATGAGGGATATCGAGGTCACAGTCTGTGGTGAGTGGATCCTCACAGGCTTCTGTATGGTACCTGGGGTACCCAGTTGTACAGTAATTAATAGTCTTTTTGTTGATTCTCGTAGAAGTCAGTTGTTCTGGGGTCATTTGACTCCAGGTTTTGGCCATCGGGCCTAGGTCTTTCCACGAGATGTCGGGGGGTCTGGTGAGAGATATGTGTGGGATCGATGTTTCCCAATGGTGATAGAGATGTGTCACACTCTCTGGGAGGTGGACCAAGATAAGCATGGTACCTGTGAGGTCCCAAAACAAGTCAGTCAGGGTAATTTGGATTTCTTTGAGTTGGAATACTTCTGCCTCGTAATTCATATCAGGGCCTGGTTCATCCCTAATCCACAAAGTGCAATGAAGTAGGGCCATTGATTGTTCATCATGTGGAGGTGCAAGTGCAGGTAGTTGCAGATTTGTTAGAACTTCCGGGTTGATATCCAGGCTGTACCAGTGGTACACAATTCCCCCCTTGGGAAGTGGCAGAAGAGTGGCCGGGTTCAGGGTTAGGCATCTCTGAAGTTTTATGTTATCAGGTAAAAGCAATGAGGTTTGCAGGCGGAGGTGGCGTTGGGAGGAAAGGTGCTTGGGTTGAACTTGTTGCAGGATAGCAGTAATGTCATGGGGGGCCAACACGGTAAGGTGATGGCCAAGCACAAAGTCATTAGTCTTGTCCAGGAGGGCACTGGCGGCAAACACAGCACGGAGGCAAGAGGGGCTGCCCCTTGCAACAGGGTCAAGCATACAGGAAAAATAGCCAATGGGCCGTTGTCTGGACCCATGTTTCTGAGTAAGGACTCCGGAAGCATGTCCTGATTTTTCAGAGACAAACAAATTGAAAGAGAGTTGATAGTTGGGTAGGCCCAAGGCAGGAGCAGAGGCAATAGCTCTTTTCAGAGTATGGAAACAGTCAATAGTTTCTTCAGTGAGGTGAAAGGGCTCGCTTTGAAGTGCATCATAGAGAGGTTGCATGAGTTTGGATGCTTCAGGTATCCAAGACCTGCAGTATGTGATGAGACCCAAGAAAGCATGAAGGGAGTGATGGGTTGTAGGTAATGGGAGTTGCAGGATAGCTTGCACCCGTTGTGAGGTTAGATGTTTGGTGCCATGGGAAAGGCAGTGTCCCAAGAAGACCACAGAGGGCCGGCACCATTGTAGCTTTGATTTGAGGCCTTGCACCCGGCAGCAGCGAGGAAACATAAGAGATCTTCTGAGTCACGTTCTGCAATTAGCAAATCAGGAGCACAGAGTAGAAGGTCATCAACATATTGTAGTAAAACAACATCGAGATGTGATTTCTGCCAGGGATCCAGAACCAGAGACATGGCATGAGCAAACTGTGTTGGGGAGTTCTGCGCTCCCTGGGGCATAACAGTCCAAGTATATTGTTGTCCTTCATGTGTGAAGGCGAAGAGAAAACGGCAGGAGGGATCAAGGGGAACACTGAAAAAGGCATTAGCCAGATCCACAACAGTAAAAATTGTTGAAGTTGGTGGCACTTGGGACAAAAGGGTATGAGGGTTTGGAACAATAGCAGTGTCCTTTATGGTTACCTCGTTAACAGCACGGAGGTCCTGTACCATACGGTATTGGTCGGGTTGACCCTTAACAGTTCGCTTTTTAACAGGGAAGAGAGGGGTGTTGCATGGAGATGTACACTTGGTGAGGGCACCTTTTGCAAGCAGGGTCTCAACTTGCTTGGTGATGGCTTCAGCTTGTGCTGGCTTCAGAGGATACTGAGGTCTACGAGGAGGGAGTGCACCAGGCAGGAGCTGGACCAGGACTGGGGGTACATGTAAGCGTCCAATATCATCCGGGCCGGTGGACCAAAGTTCTTGGGGGATACGATCCAGGGCACTGGGGGTGTGTGTGACCCGTGCATTCCCTGTATTGTCAGTTAGATTCAACAAAATTGGGAGTGAGCAGAGTACAGAAGTATCTTTCTGCGATAAGGGGGTTGTCAACTCAACCTGTCCATCAGCAGTAAAGGTAATGGAAGCCTGGAGCCGAGAGAGAACATCGGCACCTAGGAGGTTAATGGGGCAGGTGGAGGAAACAACAAAACGGGACAGGATATGTGAGCCTACATGTAAGAGCTTGGTGAGGGGGTTACTGCGTGGTGTACCATCCACCCCAACACAGGAGACATCAGTGTCAGATAGGAAGGAAGGGTCTGGCAGGTCTTGTTCCCTAAGGACACTACGGGCTGCACCTGTGTCAACTAAAAAGGTGGTTGGGTGACCCTCCACGGGGAGAACTACAGTAGCTAAAGGTCCTCCTCCATCCCCCGCAGACACTGCCATGGCAGGGGTTGCTGACACAGGCTTGCCAGTTACCTATTGTAATAAATCTAGGTGGGCTTGATCCGGTCCCTGGTACCGGCGGGAGGTGGAGGGAGGGTTAGCAGTATGCATGGGTGGGCGGGATGGACGGAGGGCATGGCGGGGATGAGGTGGGTTGTCTTGGAGGTCATCAGTATCATACCCTTCAGCGGAGGGCGAGGTGTATGCACGGGCTTCTGCTGCGGGGAGCCGGGCTTGGGAATACTCAGGAGGCGGAGGGGGAGGAGGTGGAGGAGGTAACTGAGGCAACTGTGGATGGGGTAGGGCAGGGAGATAACCGGTGGAGGGGAAACTGTAACTGGTGACATGTGGATTTTGGTACCGGGGAGTCTGTTGGCGGAACACTCTAGGGTGTGGGCAATCTCTTCTAAAGTGACCTGGCTGATTACAATTAAAGCAGGTCCGGATTGTCGTGACAGACCGGTCACGGGAGAAAGGAATTGGTGCAGGCAGTGTCTGGGGGGGCTGGGTGTACTGTTGGGGAAACATCTGAGGACCCTGGCTTGGACCAGCGAATGGGGTGGAGGTAGCATACATCAGAGGACTGGGTCTACGTTGTGTAGGCAGCAAAACAGATTCTAAGCCCTTGGCAACCAGCAAAAGAGTGTCCAGTGGAATAATTCTATACTCAGGCCGAGCTAAGATTAACCCCTTACGGATGTGTTCTCTAAGCCCTGCCACAAAGGCTGCAGATAACATCTGGGTATGTGCTTTGTTGTAAGTACTAAACCCTAAGTCTGAAAAAGTCTGAGTCAACCTAGAGTGATACTTCTCAACTGTCTCAAGTTTGTCCTGTAAAATGTCATTAATACAAGTAGCCTGATCTGCTAGTTTATCCTGTGCCCAAGCTCGAAGCTGTTCACAAAAGACTTCACCAGAACGAAAGTCAGTATCAGAAGTAAGTGGAGCGTCATTAAAACTCCGTTCCATGATTGGCCAGTATGCATCACCGGCTTTGATTTCACATAGACTAATAAGATCCCGCCAAGCAGCGGAGTACGTTTTACGGATCTGAGCCATCCGGCGGAAAAAGGGCATAGGGTGTTTTTCAGGATCGGGGAGTGAGGTCACAAGGGTAGCAGCTTGGGAAGGGTTAAAGGTAACATACATAGGCGGCGCTCCATCCGCCCCATGGTTGATCGGGATGTA